TTTTCTACAAAACTATAAAACCTAGAGCAAAAACCTAAAAACCATTAAAATTTACATTAAATTATCTATCTAATGGCGTAAACCGAAAGTCCCTCCGGGTTATGGTTCCGGCAATAGAGCCATTTTTTTTTTTCAAAAAAAAATCATGTCTCAAAAACTATGAGTCCTACGTTATACAGGCGTGTTCTACGATTAATTTTACATCCAGTACTAGTTTTTCACAAGAATAAAAAATGTTTGATTTTTTGGTCATAATTGGACATAGCTTATGCTTATGCTTCTAGCCTTATTCTTAACTTTATTACTSAATATCTCAAAAACTATGCATCGTAGAGTATTTTAACTTGTTGCATCGTGTTCAGCGCGTTTTACGTTTAGAAAACTATTTTTAAACGTTTTTACAACTTAAGGTATATTGACTACTTTTACGATTTTACTACCGCCCACCTTCAAAAACTCAAAAAATTCGTAATTTTTTAAACTTGACCCAATAACGTTTTATGCACTTTTTTGAGTCTTTGAGACCTCTAAAAAACGTTATATGGAAGAATTTTAAGGTTGAAAATTTAATTTTCTATCATATATAAAAAAGATCAGTGCTCTAAGATGAATAGTTATCGAGAAAATCTCTGATAAAGTCAAAAATTTCAAAAATATAAATCCGCTTTATTATATTATATATTTATTAAATTGAGCTTCTTGTTCTAGGTCTAATAGTTTAAAAAGTAAAAATTGTCAAAATTGTGAAAGTTTAAACGCGTTTTTCTACGAAACTATAAGACTTAGAGCAAAAAGCTAAAAACCATTCAAATTAGCTTGAAATTATCTATTTAATAGCGCAAACCGGAAGTCGCTCCGGGTCATGGTTCTGGGTACAGAGCCACTTTTAGTTTTTTTTAAAAAAAAAACATATCTCAAAAACTATGAGTCCTAGATCAAAACGGTTTGTACAGGCGTATTCTCCGGTGAATTTTACATGAAATACTAGTTTTTCATAAGAATCAAAAAATTTTGATTGCTTTCTAGCCTTATTCTTAACTTTATTACTCAATATTTCGTAGAGTATTTTAACTTGTTGCATCGTGTTCAGCGAGTAATTTTACGTCTAGAAACCCATATTTCAAGGTTTTTACGACTTAAGGTAAATTGACTATTTTTACTACCGCTCAAAAACTCAAAAAATTCGTAATTTTTTAAACTTGACCCAATAACGTTTTATGTACTTTTTGAATCTTTAAGACCTCTAGAAATGTAAAGAACGTTATATGGATCAATTTTTTTTGATTTTTGTAGTGACTATGATATAGCCTTATTCTTGCCTTTATTACACAATATCTCAAAAACTACTCATTGTAGAGCATTTTAACCTATTTTAACCTATTGTTCAGCGTGTAATTTTGTGTCCAGAAAACCATATGTATTTCAAGCGATTTTGCGACAAAAGTCAAACTCTTAATTAAAAAATTAAAAATTTCAATGTCAAACCAAATGCACTCCTAACGTTCCAAGAGACTTAGAAAAGTGCAAAAACGTTGTAAAAATCCCAATTTTGTTAAATTTTTGTAAATTAACTGCAGTAGCTACAATATTTATGCCTAAAACCCGGTTTTGGCTTTTATAGTATAATTAAATCAAATTGAGAAATTCAAGATGATTGGTAATTAAAATAATTAATTTCTGGTCACAAATGGCGCTAAATTGGCAATGATTTTTGCATTTGCGAGGTCCAGTTGGTCTAAAGCTTGTTCGAAGTGGGTTCCCTGGGGAGCAGTTTGACCACTGGGCACGCGATCATCCTCTTATTCCTCTTCAAAGTCAATTATTCACTTCAGCCCAAAAGTTCGTGTTTGCTTAATATAAATGAAGTTTGCATTTAAAACGTGTTTAATATTTTCGAAAGTACCCCGCAATTAAAATATATTGTTCCGTTTAAATCCACAGAATAATAAATACAAATGTCAAGAGCATGTCATCGAATAATGCAAAATGCCAAAAAAACCACCCCTCGGTTCGAGTTGAACGTTTTAATTGTATCAAATGTAAAGTAAGAAGGGGTTGGTCCAGTGTTCAATCGTCGTAATTAAATTCAAATTCGAATCGGCACCTTTTCTTTGGGGTTTCACACTAAGTTATGAATTCATAAAGTTCACTAATCGCCGCATTGACGACATTTGACGAAAACAATAATGAAAATAAATATGCGAACGTCATTTCTGAATGGAAAAATCTGATTTAGAATCGACAACAATTCGTGATTGTTAAGTTTACGATCCGTGAAGAGGCCAGATGTTGGGCGATTTTGTTGATTTGGGGGTGGGTTGCGTAAAATGACCACTGTCCACTTAACTGCCCCGACACGCTCCACGGATACTGGGATGCTTAAAACAACATCGAATTTTTTCAACTCAACAATATGCGAAATTACAAAACGGTTGATTGAATTAGAAATAGAAATTTCGCCGTTTTCCAATTGCAGATTGAAAAGCGATCAATCAAATCTATAAGTGCTGGGGTTGGGACGCGATAATCTAATAGAAAATTAACGACGCCTTCAATAAAACGTCGCTCATTTGATAAATTGGCGAAGAATGATTGGTTATTTTTAAACCGATTGCAACTGATAACTGGCACTCACTATAAATGATCGAAAATCATAAAATAGCAAAACGTTTGCTTGTTTTTTCGAAATTGGCCACAGAAAATTTCGCACACTAACTAATAATTAATAAACAAATAAAAACTAGGTTATATCAACAGTTGCAATGCTATTTTTCAATGACTATAACTGTGAAAACAATAAAATAATTAAACAGCAATTTGTATGTACCTTTCAGTACAGTAATTCATTTTTTAAATTAAAAAAAACCCGAGATCCGTTAAATCTGAGTGATTCATTTTTCTTAAATCAAAATAACCATTATTTCGCATATCCTATACCTATCTAAAGTTTATTGCTAGACTAGAATTCAAGACAAAAAATTGATATTATTAAGAAATGTAGTTTTAGTTTGTAAATAACGTTTTTAATTATCTTCACTTTGATTCAAAAAAATCAAAACAATCAAATTACTCTCAAAATTGCAAATAAAACCAATTTTCCTAAGGTAGATATAATTTAAAATCCTATCAACTTTATCATTATTTTATTTTCACAAATATGACAGAAAAAAATCAAAAAATTTTATCATGTAGAAAATATTCCAGTTAACTGCCATACGCTAAAAAAATTTTACAATATCAAAACATCGAATTAAAGTGTATGTAATCCTCTATCGTTTACATTATCAAAATTCTTCTTAATCAATTAGAAATATTTATTTTTGCGCCGGCCCTAAAACTTGAGACACTCTGTACATTGCTTCCTAAAACAGGTAGGGTTCCCTAAAGATCTTTTTGTTTCAATTATTTGAGTTATTATTCGAAATAAATTTACTAAAATTTGTATCGAAGATATTTTTTTATTGGTTTAGAATTTATCTTCCCCCAAACGCAACCTTAATTCTTGAGGTTTGTTTTCCTTTTCAATAATTATAAATACACCAAAAAAAAAATTTAACATTTCTCTGTTAATAGCCCAAACACGATTTCAAAATCTTTAAAATTGATCACGTTTCGATTTTCAAGGGCAAGGTACAAAAAAAGTCGAAAAATCCTAACATTTTTTTAAATTTCATACAGGGTGATTTCGAAATTCTCAACAATATTTAAAACTGGAATATTTAAAAAATAAAAATAAAAATTTTTCATCGTCATTTTTCGTACCTGCCCGAAGTTTTTATATTAAATCATCACATCAACGGTACACTTTCTCCCTTATTATTGACTATTTTCACAAACGCATATTTTTTAATAGATTTAATAGTTTTGTATATTTTAAAATCACCTTGTATGAATAAAAATTATTTATAATATTTTTTTACAAAAATTATTATCAATTAATTTTTAATCGCTATTATTAAGAAATGTAGTTTTAGTTTGTTTGTAAATACTGTTTTTTTTAAACTTAATTATCTTCACTTTGATTCAAAAGAATCAAAACAATCACTCGGGTGGTTTTTAGATCTAATTACTCTCAAAATTGCAAGTAAAACCAATTTTAAGGTATATAATTACTCTTCAAAAATGCAACTTTATTATTATTATTATTTTATTAATTAGAAAAAGTAATTATGTGTTTTAGAGACGTTAAAACATGCATCTAGAATATAATACATACGCACATTTAAAAAAAAAGTTAAAGATATGCTAGTGATGATAAAAATTTTGTTTGTCTTAATTCCTAAATAATTAATCTTAACGGTTTTTTCTATTTTTTCCATTGCTTATTGGTACTCTTTGGTACTAATTATATTACATACATATATTTTACTGTATTGAATTGTTTTCGATATACAAAGTGTTTAAAATTTTAACCTTGTTTACATTCTCAGAAAATAATTAAAAACTCTAAAAAAATGCCTAGTTTTAAAGAATGAACTAATATCTGTGCACCATTGAGAAAAACAGAAAAAACTGTGTTTTGATTTCTAGGCATTTCAAAAATTTTGCTTGAAAATGATTAATGAATAAAAAAAAGTTTTGTATTTTACGGGAATCGGTACAAGTGTTCCCTCTTGTGTATTGCACTTAAACTATCATTTCGTCCCTAGTTCAGTTACAGTTTTCTGTTGCAGCGCCATAAAATTTTAAAAAATTCAATTGTAATTAATGAAATTAGAAAGTATATCAAATTTATCTAGTCATTAAATTTAATTTATAAATATTTTGCAGCTTCTAGAAAAAGTATTTACGAATTATTTACTCTTATCAAAGTATAAATATGTTATTATTATCCACCCCCACAAGCTTTCATACCGCGTTATCATACATGATAATTAATACCTCAAAAACTGCTAATTTTTTTGTTAATTAATACAAAAAAAATGCTTTGTAACTATCATTACCTTACTTACATAATGTGAGGTTATGTTACATAATTTTTGCAGATCATCACCACTTACCTGGAGTTAATTATCCCGAGATGTTTCATTGGCTTTCCCACATTTATTGCAAATCATTATTTTTTTACTTAAATAGGGAAAAACTCAAATTATACACTATAAAACAAATGCTTGAAAACCTCAATAATTTTAATTGAGTTTTAAAATGAAAAAAAAAACGCAAACTAAACGGAAAAATTAAGCAAATTATTAAACACAATTGAATTTGTTATACCAACAAAATGTAAATAAACAAACATTAAAAAAATTCAAATGTAGGATTCTACTGTGACAGGAATGGTAAAGCATGCTGCCATCTAGCACAGTTTTTTAATTCCAATTGAATAAGTTTTGAATAGATAGCGCCACATGTTATGGCTCAAATTTTTTTGAAGTGTTACCATTGTTGCTTTTTTTTAAATAAAGTGTTACACTATTTATAGCTTTTCTTATCGGATTTGCTAGTATTACTGTCGCCTAAACAAATCGACAATAGATGATAATAATTCAATTTGTGTGGCGGGGAAGAAGGGTGAAATAAAACTCGTATTTTCTACAAAACTGGTAAACGTTTTCACTCATCAGTACATCAATTACACAGTAACATTAAATTAAATATAAAAAGATGAGTTAAAATAATACTTTTAGGCTAGCTTTAGATGAGAAATTATAAATAACTGAGAGATGAGGCATAAATACAATACAATTAATATCACAGTAACTTAAGAGTTGAAGATTGATGTAGAAATGCTAAATTGACCCGTAAATTTTTCCTAAATGTCTTTGGCATTGTCTGTACTAGGAACACGCGCATTCTACCACTTGCATATTGTCCCACTTTTCCACGATAAGTTTCGTGGTGTCGCTGGGGTTGACTCTAAGTATTTCCAAAGGCTCTAGCTTCGAGGGGGCGCAACAGGCCTTGGGCACGGCCCTCCGATTCCTCTTGCCTGTCTTCCACTCCATCTGGTGCAGGAGACTCTGAATCCGCGAGTGGTTAGTCGCGTAGTTGAAATTCGGGGGGCACTGTCCCTGGCAGAAGCCCGCGTCGTACGACTTGGGCTGCACAATGGACCCCATCTCAATAAACCTCAACTTGGAGAAGGTCACCTCCATGTCGTGCCGACAACAGACCCTCCTTGTCCCCTTTCGCAACTTCCTACAATCCGTTCGACGCAAGGATTGGTAGGGGGAGGTGGCGCGTTTTGAGCGTCTGTGTTCAGGGTAAACTAGAGCACTAACAGCGGCTTGCAGCGGAGTTAAATAATTATTTCTACACTCGAGGCAAACTAACTCTATTCCTAAGTTCCTTTCGCCGTTTAGCCAAGACTGCACTGCACTTGTCACTTCAAATTCACACCACTTTGGCAAAGTGGGCGACAAGTGGATGAGTTTCTCTTCAAGCACTCGGCGACGTCTCGCGCCCAAAATTTGAGTCACTTGGATGCGGAACGACGTGTGGTTGCCAGTGGCGGGGGCGAGGATGCGGAGTTGGGCGCTCTCCACCTCCACCTCCTGGGGACGGATCGGGAACTTTAAACGCGGCCACCAATCCCTCTTCACTGAAAAAAAAAAATTTTAAACTATTTGTTCGTTTTCTGTGCCCAAAACCAAAATAAATGTTTATTTTTCCCTATCCCTGCGAAAAATCAGGTTTTTTTATTTTTTTTTAACTTATTTCAAAAAATATGAATTAGAGTTATGGAAGAGTATGGAATCAAGCAGTCTTCTTAATCCTTTGCTTCCAGAAAATAATATAAATTAAAGTGATATAAAAAAATTTTGATTTGTTTTTGAATTATGCGATTTTTTTGTCAAAATATAAAGTAGATAGTTGTAATCCTAAGATCATAATCTTCATGAGAAAAATAGTTTATAGAAGGTTGCCATTTAAAAAAAATTAAAAATTTTGTAATCTCAGAATCAAAAAAAAATTGAAAAATTTTATTCTTGATAAAACATCACATTTTTATAGTACTTTATCATTCAACAATTAATTTTTCTAAGAAATAAACAGTTTAAGCAAAAAACGTTTGGTTCCATATTTTTTGTTCACCTGGTATATTGGTTCCTAAGATAGCTAGAGTCCCTTAAATATGGCGACCTAAACATCTTTTAAAAATGGCGACCCAAAGGTAATTATTTCAGTTATTAGTTGAAATTATTCTTATTTTTTCTGGTTTTTTATTTCAATGATTTTCATTATTTTAATTTTACGTTTTTTATTTTCAATTTTTTCTTCATACTTTCATGTTTTGCTTTTTTGCTTTTTTTCTGACTTTCATTTTTTCTGTTTTGTAGACATTTTTAGAAGTTTTACATTTTTTTTTCTGTTTTTCTTTTGCTAAGTTTACTTTTTAAGATTTTTTTATAATTATTTCTATAGTTTTATATTTCTTTATATTGAATGTGTTTGCTCTAAACGTTTTTCTTTCATAGTTCTTGCCTTTTTTATTTCTCGGTTTTTTTCTCATTTTTTACTGATTTTTTTTACTTTTTTATTAGTTTTGTGCTGTTTTGTCTTTTAGATTTTACTGTTTTTACAATTTCAATATACTTTTGTTTATTTCCTTCTCTGTCTCCTGTTTTTACAAGCCTTTTCTATTGTTTAGCTTTTGTTTTTTGTACAATTTTTTTTATTTTGCCAAAATTTGTTTTTTCATTTTCTTATAGTTTTTTGTTCGCCCAACTTTTTGCATTTTCTTATAAAATTATCTGTTAACGCGCAAAATTAAATCGAAATCAAAATGGAAAAAAAAACTTACTTAGAAAATAAAAATTTAATAAAAAAAACTATCGATCGCGAAACTTTCATGGCTGAAAAAGGCCTAAATTTTACCTTTAAAAAAAACCTTAACTAAGAGTGGATGTCAATCATTCAATTTGACACTTCTGACAGTTGTTGACATTTTGCGTCAATGTGTTTCACACTCTTCAAGAAATAAATTTACTAAAATTTGTAGCAAAGATAATTTTTTGGTATTAAATCTATTGGTTTAGATTTTTTTTTCCCCAAACCCAACCTTAATTCTTGGAGGTTTGTTTTAATTTTCAATAACAAATGCACCAAAAGAATAATTTAACATTTCTCTTTTAATTGCCCAAACATGATATAAAGATCTTTAAAATTATTAAATTATCGATTTTCAAGGGCAAGATCCAAAAAATTTGAAATATTTTAAATAATAAAATAAGAATTTTTTTAAATTTCAATTTTCTCCATACAGGGTGATTTTGAAATTCTCAACAATACTTAAATTGGAACATTTAAAAAATTAAAATTTACGTTTTTTTCATCCCAATTTTTTGTACCTGTCCGAAGTTCATCAACGGTGAGTCAGTGGCAAATTCACTTAAGGTTAAAGGTTCATAACGATTTTCTCCCTTATTATTGACTATTTTCACAAAAGTAACCCTCAAGATTTATACGTTTAAATAGTGTCGTATATTTTAAAATCACCCTGTATAAATAAAATTACTTATAGCATTTTTTTACAAAAATTATTATCAATTAATTTTTATATCAACCACTGAGAAGAGAAATAAAGTAGTGATTTGGGGCCCCCAGTTTTTGTTTTGTTTTTCAAAACTCTACATAAAAATGTAAAATGAGTTTAGTTTTTTACACGCGTCCATAATTTTATACTTAAAAAATACCAGGTGAATAAGAACTTAAAATGCTTAAAATATTTATTTTTTGAAAAAAACTAATTGATGAATGATAAAATACTATAAAAATGTGATGTTCTATCAAGAATCTTTTGTTTTTGAAACAAAATTTTTATTTTTTTTTAAATAGCAGTTCACTATAAAACCATTTTTCTCATGAAGGTTATGATCTAAGGATTACAACTATTTACTTTACATTTAATTTAAAAAAAAAATACATAAATTGCAATTTTGACAAAAAAATCAAAAGAAAATTTCGTTCTCAAAATACGATAATATTTTTTATATTACTTTAATTTATATTAATTATTATTTTCTGGAGACAAATGGTTAAAATAAAACCGCTTGGTTCCACACATTATATTCACCCTGTATGTTGATTAGGGGAGAGGTGCTTAAAATGGACCGATTTAAAGTGCATGGAATTTTTATTTAAAAAAAATTATTTTATTCAAAAACAAAAACAAACATTTAACACTGTTTCAATGTTGTGTTAATATTATGAAATTTAGTTTATTTTATAGTTTCTTAAAAAAATGTTTTGCTGCTTAGAGGTTTTTTCCGATTTTGTGTTGATTCTAAGCAGACAGTTTGTTTTTCTATTTTCGGGGGTCGCTTTCACCTGTATCAATCCCGAATCGTGATTCACAAATCGTGGGTTCCGCGTTTATTTATTTTCGGTCTACTTTAAGAATCATTTTGTGGGTTCTTATTTAAATCGTACTTTATATGGGAATATTCGTGGAAGCAGTAAAAATAACACATTTTAGTGTACCGGAACACAACATGTATAACAGATCTTGAACTCATTGGCATCAAATCAAAAACTGAGTATTTTTATGTATAAACACACGTGGCCGTTGCCCTTAAAACCGCATTGGTATCTTGTCATACTTCTCCCGAAGACAAGTTCATTTAATGACGATAATTACAAGAAACTGGTTCATAATTCGAAATTACAAAAATTCACCAATCGAAGATTTTTTCCCAATGAATCATCAAAATATTTGGCGCGAGATCATTTCCTTAGAAAATATTTATCAGTGAACTCAATTAATTCGCGATTTTATTGACCAGACGAGAGAAAAAAGTCAAAATGCAACATCACGAGGAGTAACGATGGATTTGCAATTGCAGGACGGCCAACATAAAGGAGACGGAAGTGCAGCCGTTTTTAATGAGTTTAAGCTAAATTTAGTCAGCTTTAATTATCTAAGATTTTTTCAGGGTTGGTACACCTGTGAACTGAGCTTTCACTCGACCGAATTCAATTAACCGGCAAAATGTCGTTTATTCCATTTAAACAAAAAATAATTGTTTGCCTCATTAGCCTGAAGGACAGCAATTAAATTTAATACGAGTTGTGTTTTGGTAATTTTAATTTGTAACTTATTTCGCCAGATCAATTCAAGATAACACTAGGGACGAGCTATTTTTGATTTTTCGATTTATTTATAGAAGAACCGCCAACGTAATACTCGTGACGCGACAAACTACCAACATTTGTATATTTTTAGTGTCTTTATAAACGTGTAGGTACATAAATCGCATTTGTAGTAAATAAAAAGACGATAAATCTAATAACATTAACTACGAATTTAGCTAAATTATGCAACACCTACTCGACGCTTGACATTCCTAGGCCCAATGATTTTATTTTCATAAGAATGCCAGCACTTTCGACCCGATTTTGTGTGTTTTGTACACCTGCTCGTTTACTAAATCAATTGTAGGGTAGCTGCGACTATAAAAGAATTTCTGAGTGGGGGTCTACAATTTCATCTTGAATCGCAGTTTCGCATAAATATTTCAGCAATGACTCGTAATTCCATTAAGGATTTAAGGAGTGTTTTTGTAACTCAGCGCATTTCTAAACTTACATTTCCAACGCTACACCTGCCTGGGAAATTCGATCCCTGCACCTAATTAGCGATGCAGACTATTTAACAAACTAATAAATTTTTATTACCTTGTTCGTTAATGCCACTTTTGGTACACCCCTGTAGTAAACTCAGGCATTGCTTTCTTTTGGCAGAGATTTGTAAAAGCGAGTTAATTAATCGAGAAATTATTGACACAAATATTTGGTTTAAAATAAGTAAATCCAATAAATCAAATATTGACCTCGATTATTCCGAAAATATGAACACCCGGTATGGCGAGTCGATCTCAGGTAAATTTTTATCTTCTCCCAAACCAGACTAATTACTCTGAAATTCTTGAGATAAAATTTAAACGGTGAAAAACAAACAAAACCCCTATGCCAGTCTGCAATTTTAATCAAAAATTTTCAAAATAACGGTTTTCTTCCTGTTTCATTTCTAATTAAAATCGTTCAACCTTCAGTTTGCTCCGGACTTCAGTAATTCCTATATTTCAACATAGTTGATTCATAGAATTTGTGTTGGTGGGAAGGGCGAGAGAAATCGTTGCAAAAATGGCGACGTGAAAAACTCTCATTCTTGCATCATTTTGATTTGACATGTGAAATAATTAAGGTGTGCTTTTTAGAGCTTAAATTCTGATGATGTCATTAATTCCCGTTGCAGCGGTCATTAGAATATAATGACGGTGCAACTTGTCATCAAACATAGACGGCGCATTCGCTGGGTCTCCAAATAAACAAATTTTCAACAAATCATTTTCCACAGTGTGAACTTCTCTAAAAGCCTAAAATAACACCACTGAAAAATTTCAAGGTTGAATAAAACATCCAATACTTTTTCACTTCTACTCACTGTACTTTTTCTACATATAGACTTAAAACAAAGAAATAACTCGGAACTATTACCTCTTATCGAGAATATTTTTAATTTTTTTAAACCCCTATTTTTTTAATAAGGTATTTCAGAGTTGGCCAAATTTGCTACAAATAATCACATTTTCAAGTCGCAAAAATGAACAAGTTTTCAACAAATAATTTTACACGGTTTAAACCTCTCTAGAGGCCTAAAATAACACCACGGAAATATTTCAAGGTTGAACAAAACTTCCAATACCTTTTTACTTCTACTCACTATACTTTTTCTTTCATTGTTTCGCACCGAAAAATGTATAGACTTAAACAAAGAAATAACTCGGAACGAATACAATAATATTTCGAAGTTATTTAATAACAAACTATTACCTCTTATCAAAAATATTTTTAATTTTTCTAATCCACTATTTTTTAACAAGGTACTTCAGAGTTGGCCAAATTTGATACAAATAATCACATTTTCAAGCCTCAAAATTGAACAAATAATTTTACACGATTTGAACTTCTCTAGAAGCCTAAAATAACACCACGGAAATATTTCAAGGTTGAACAAAACTTCTAATACCTTTTTACTTCTACTGATTATACTTTTTTTTCATTGATTCGCACCGAGAAATGTATAGACTTAAAACAAAGAAATAACTCGGAACGAATACAATAATATTTCGAAGTTATTTAGTAACAAATTATTACGTCTTATCAAGAATATTTTTGATGTTTATAAACCCCTACTTTTTTAACAAGGAAACGTTTTTTGCTACAAATAATTATTATACCGTGCGATCAAAAAGAAATAAATAAATAATAGAGTAGGCGGTGATTAAAGTCCTTCAGATGGCAATCCTGAATTTTGATAATAAAAATGTCAGCGGAAACACAAGTTTTGCGTTTTATTCATTTTGAGTGAAATAATGTTCACTTTATTGTTGCAAGTTATTACAAAAATGCTGTACAAGACGAAAACGGTGAATGGTCATTTTCACTTTCAGTTTGTGTGGAAAATTTCCAGCCCAGATTCCCAACCAACTGTAGAATTTAATCCTACTCTAATTTATTAATTTTTTGCTCATATTATTACTACAAGATGTACGTTTTTTTTGTTTTTTTTTTAAAAATTGAACAAAAATGTCTTCCTTCAAAACAAAGTTAGGTAAGTTAAATGTTAAATCTTTTAATTATTAATTTTTTCAATGTTGTAAACCTTTTCGAAATAAAATTATTTCAGGGTTGTCCAATTTACTATAACAAAACAACTGTTCTAAAAAATCGGATTTCAAGGTTTCCATGTTTAATTTTTTTCTCATTTTAACAATGAGGAAATCTGGAAAATAAAACTTGTGTTATATTAGCGTAAAAACGTCGATCAAATTATTTAGAATTGACTAAATTTGTAATATTTACAACACAAAATTTGTAATTTTCATCAATGCGAAAATGACAATCAGGGTATGAAATTAATGTCGGCGATTTTTGCTCGGTTAATCTGTACAAAGTAAATATTAAAAATCGCATTAAATTTATTTCTAGTAATTTTGCATTTCTTAATTGTTTTTTATTGTAGTAAAAGTAGTAAAATGATTTATTACTTGTGTTTACGATGGGTTGTAGAGAGACAATTGGTAGTAATAAGTACATTGTAAGTAAATTTGACGGTTTGTTTAATTGTTTTTTTTTATTTATTGACTTACCGGGATAGAATGTGACCAGCTTGGGAATGGAATAGTCATTTGAGTGTTGTTGTCGAGTGTCAAGATAAAGAGTCATCATCTTGGTGTATTCGTCCTGGCTAATGTTGATCTGGAAAAAGCAACAAGTGGTTGAGTTGAGTTCATGGAGTAACATCCTCGTATCAAAACAATAAGTTTGTATGACGTTAACCAGATTGAGTGTTGCTCCCGTTTCTATTTTAAATCTAGCTAGGCCAGTTTTGGCGGGAGAGTCTATCTGAGTGATGATGATGGAAAATGCGAGTTCCGGTCGGGTGGTCCGGGATTCCCCGGACCCGGAACCTCGCCGCAGCGGCAACCTTGTGTCGAAATCGTGATCGTACCTTGGCGACGTCCGGAGCCGCGTTAAGGCCCAGGTCGAGGAAAAGGCTCCGGTCGGCAGTTAGCACTTGCACTAGGTAGAAGAACGTCCACGCCGCTGGTGTAGCCCACGAGTTGACGCCCATAGCCGGGGGCTAAGCCGGCATTAGTAGCGCACTCACTTCACTATGCACCTGCTGCACTTGCTGCACATGCACTTGGCACTTGCATTGCCGCGAACTCGACGACACCGACACCGTCAGCACTGCCCGTGTCAGCAACGCTACGTTCGACGCTGTCGAACTAAACTCACGCGCTTCTCGCCACTCACACTTTTATATCACGATTCGCGGAGGGGGCACACCACCCTCAACCACCGGAATCTCGCCGCTTTTCCAGCGAAAAACACCACCGCAACCCTAAACAAACTAAATACTCACCTCTTACAAAAAATATTACGACACTTGTTTCGGAACTATTAAGCAAAGTAAAACATTTTTGAAAAACAACATGTTTTGCGCCTAATTTTGGATTTTTTTGAAATGATTCAGCAAAATCTTATTAAAACGTTAGATTTTCATTAATACATAAGCAAAAAACGACACGAAATAACCGAAAAGGTGTTTTTTGTAGATAAATGGGCTAGAAACTAATG